GCGTGAGTGCGATTTGTTTATCCAGCTCCCAACACTCAATTTACACTTGTGGTCAGTCATAAATCATACAAGGGGTATTGTTAAAATCGAATCCTAAATTTTTGATCCAACCACACATAAATTCTCCATTTTTACTTACCAACGCTATTCCTGTTGCCTTTTAAAGGCCGCAAGATATGACGCGGAATGATCGCTTTACTGGCTGGAGCCCAGAAGTGCTTTGATCCCCTAAATTGAACTTGAAGTCCCGGAATTCGAACTCCACCGCTCCCGACACAGACAGTAGCCAGTACCTACTACAAACCGAATCAATTCCAGCATAGTCTTGTTACCCTTAAATTCAACTCCCATCTAAAACATTTCGATAATTCATGTAGCTTCGCAGTTCCAATGCGATTCCACACACACACACACCCAAGCTCGGCGGTGTCTAGTGTGCATTTTGGCCCTCTGACGTTGGCGAAGTGGCAAAGAAAGAAACGAGTGTGGAAACGTCCGCGATCAAGACGGTGGTTCACGGGCGATGCATCCGAGTGTGCAGTGCGGTCCAGTGTAATGTGAGTTGATTTACATGCCTGTGCCTCTTCTACAAGCTGCCCACCCTCCTGGTGCGTGCGTGCGTGCGTGCGTTCAATTTTTTACGAACAAACTTCAGCCGCCATTATCAATCCACTTGATTGATAGGTGCACTCCGCCTCCCTCTGACCATTTAATTGTGATTTTTCGATTATTCAGCCTCTACCTGTCGGTTGGGAGGACTAAAATCCCGCCATTGCTTCGGCACACAACAATTTCATTTCCTTTACTTTTTCCAGTTAGGCAACTTTAAATATTTAGCCATGAATTATGGCCCGGGAACTTTTTCACACCTCTTAAGTTCTATTTACTGGAATTTTTAAGTTGACAACTTGGAAGACGCGCAAACTAAGGCAGGGAGGGGTAGGTTGTGTAGCGTGGTTGTTTGTTTTAGCTGGCTAAAGTGTTACTTTTAGTTCACTGCGATGCGGAAACTAGGAGAGTGGTGGCGGTCCCGTGCGTGTTTCGCACTCCAAACGCTGTATTCTTAGAAATTCGTACCTAAAAATAAGTGAATCGAGGGCTTTTGTATTCCTCCTTTCAACTTTGTCGTCATCTCGATATTGTTTAGCCGCTCGCTCAAGACTGGTTCTGGTTTTTCAATCCTGGAATGTATCTTATTTCCAAATGAGACTCACAAGTAAGCGTACATAGCATCGTTCTTTGGCAATCGTTTCCGATTCATTCCACGTTGGTTTTGCTTGGTCACCAGTACTCATTTTACGGCCTTTTTGTTATGCGCCCTTGCTGATCCGGCCGTCCACAGCAGATGCTTTCTTTCTGTGACGCTTGGACAAAATTCGGATCGTTATTCCTTTCCAGTGTGGCCCCTAAGTTACCCCCAAAAACGTAATAAGCCATACCTGTCTGAAAATGTGGAAGAGTAGACGACTGTCCATAACGGCAGCATGTTGGCCAAATCGGGAAGCCTGAACAACTCGCACGGCGAAATGAAGACTCTTACGTAAATCGCCTTGTTACAATCATCTTCGCAAGAGAAAAGGAAAAAAGACCTTGTTCTGATTGAATTTGCCAAATTACACAACTTGTATTTAAGAGAAAATGCCGAGGATTACAACGCCAACACTTCTGTACCCACCATTGCCACAGTCACACAAGTCTGACAGTACTTTTCCCCATTAATTGCACAAACAGAGCCAAATCCCGACATCATGACAACAAAAATGCACACACGTACAAATGTCGCTTTCTTCTCTGTCTTAAGTACTTTGCTGCCCTGGGAAGTGCCCTCCTCTCGCTTGCCCCTTACTTCGGTGCGTAGATAGAATAGGTAGACGGGGAGGGATGGAGGCAGAGGCAGGGGTTCGCCTCGCCTAAAGCCTTATTGAGCATGAACACACACACGCACACACGGGAGCCTAATTTCGGCTATTATTTATAGCGGAGGCCCAATGAGCGTCGTCTAAAGTCGTGCGCACGTGTGTGTAGGCCCGCGCATAGATGCATACACATACGTGTGCACGCGCGCATGCCAGCCATATTAATTATTACGTGCGAGGGTTGAAGGTGTGTGAGGCTGCAAAGGGGTCGGAGGAGGGGGCTGCGCGTCATTGCGGGGCAGGAACATTAGTATTATTGTTGTGTCGTTGTTGCTGTTGCTACTGCTCGTGGCTGGGACTTTTTTTGTCTGGGCGACTGCTGCATCAGTTGGAAATTTTCGCTCTCCTCACAGCGTGCGTGCGCCTAATCACTTTTCTCCCCACCCGATCAACATAAGCAATGCATTATTACATTAGACCAGACGCTGTCAATTACCGTAACAACCCAATTTGACAAACTTCGTGACCTAGCAACGTTATAGTGGCTTCGTTTAAGCTACTAACTTTATTAGTAAGATGATTTAAACAGGCCTAATTGACTTTTGATTTAACTTTGTCAAGTAATAAAGGCAATAAAAAACTGACTAACAAGCGCAGTTGCAGTCCAACTCACCCCCTCCGGATCGATCAAGTCAAGTGTACTCATAGCACGGATAATCGATTGCCAATTATCGATTTGTAAGTCCACATGTGAAGACTGCCTCCTGCCGCATTTTACGGCTAGAGGCGTGTTCTGCATTAAGATGTCACGTTGTCAGGACTAGACAAGAAGATTGGGCGACTCATTTAGCAACATTTTCTAGATTCACATTAACTCGCCTTCGAACGCCGCCCCACGTGCCCCTCCCTTCCCGTAACTGGATGGTCAAAGGAATTACTGATTTTCACATTTCTACACACGTTAACATACCCGAGGAGAAT